TTTAGGTAGTGACTCGAGTTGTTGACTGAACTTGATCAAGTCGAGTTTGAGTGCGTTCTGTTTGTAAAAACTATCCAGTTGTTGTCAATTGGACAGTTCTGACATTTACTCACCCTCATGTTAACCACAGTGTCTTCCGATAGCTTTTTGAGAAACGGACCAAAATGTAACTTAGACCGAGAATTTGAAGACATTAGCTTCAAATTCTGAGAGAGAAAAAAACAGAATTGCGAGTTTAAATTTCACAATTCTGAGAAGCATCAGAATTGTAGTCAGATTTGTAAGGTATTCACATTCACAAATAAATATTTTGCTTTATTTTTATTCCATTGCAGAAACAAAACAAAAAAAAGAATTTGCAAAATGTAAACTCCACAAAATGTGAATATCCGCAATTACCATATTTATTTTTTATTAAATGGTGGGAACAAGCTTTCATATGTGGATTCAGATTAGCTTGTGTGTTCTTTTTTTTTTAAATGCAAAAAAATAGTATGTTTTTTCACTGTTTTGCACCATGAGGAGTTTTGTTTATTTATTTATTTTTAAGCAAAATCAATGAAACTGTCTATACTATGCGTAACTTCCATTGCTGACTACTTTGTCGGTTATAAGCCGTAAGTTTTTCCGTGTTTGATTGGGTGTGATACTAAATGTGTGTAGACATGTTGGGCCGCTTTGTCCAGTTTTGTATTCTATCATTCCCGAATATGCCCTTAAGTACATTCCTTAGTAAGGAGTCAGTGAGAAGTCCTCTATGAGAACTATGGCACTGACGCTTTTCTTCCAAGTGTTGTGTGTGTGTTGTGGCGAGCACACTGTCACTTGTTTGCTGTCAAAATGAATGCCTGTCATGTCTTGTTTTCCTCAGGCAAACCAAGCTAGCTTTTTTAGCAGTTCACTTGAATCACACAATTTTATCTTCCATGCATATTCTATTAATATGGGCTTAAAATGACACGTATAATAAGACAAATGACAAAAATGTTGTTTAAAATTGTTTACTTTTAGATTGAGAATGAATCATACTTTGGGACGCTGCTGTCATTGCTTGACATCAACTACCAGTTATTATTGCATTTAAAATTACAGTGTTTAAGAAAGTAAGGAGTGACATCACTTGTAGTATCACCTTAATTTTGTTTAGTCATATAATTAAGGAATATCCTATGTTACATAGTACCATTTTCTTTTCCCTAATTATACATTAGTTCAACTGTGTAAACAACATAGCTTCCTGAGACACCCTGTCACACCCCTCTGTATACTGGCAATACAAGACTTCATGTTACATAATTGCAGTGAATCACTGTCCTCTATCCAGGAAACCAACTCAGACCAACAGATGGTGCTGTGCTCCATGGTCTCTCAGCATTTATGGGCATGCATCTTCAATAGGCCAAAGAAACATGCAACGCTTTTTTTCAAGGCAACAGATGTTCTTTATTAGCATTGATGGTTCCATGAAGAACCTGTAACATCCATGGAACTTTTTCAATGCACAAAAGGTTCTTTATTTTGGAAATACGTTCTTAGAATTTTAAAATGTTCTTCACACTGAGAAAAAAAATGGTTGTTTTAATAACCGTTTATTTAAACATTCTTTGAGGTAAGTGAAAGGATCAATTTCGTTGGTCGACTCTAAAACAAAATAATGTTCTTATTTTAGGCATTTGAGTTTTAACCGCCTAAAATACGTGTTGCTCTGTTTTCCTTTCCTTTGGGATTCTCCTGGGCAGAAGTAAACTTTACAGGGGGCTTCTGTAAAAAGCAATATGTGCAACAGATGTTAGACACCCAGAACATGTCTGGCTCACTTACATATATGCCTGTACGCCTCGGTGGAGACTCTGACTCACTCATGAGGTCAATGCTCATTGGCAGTAGGTTGGGTAAAACCTGTGTTTCCACTGTTTGACTTTTCATAGTTTACACTAATCCGGACTTCTCTGACCTGTGCTGCCAAGACCAGTATCCTCCAAAGAAACCAGTTCCTTGAAAATGTATGCATTCGAGCGGTTTCTCCGACAAGAAGATAAAAGTTGAGGTATTGCATCATACGTTAGTTGACACTAACCCTGTAATTTTGAGGTTTCCCACCCTTTTCTGTTACTCTGTAATTTGCTCCTGAAATAGCACACACTGAGGCCATGGTGTGTCAGCAATGCTGCGTGGAGACGAGACAATCTCTGCTGACTTTCCCTTTCTAAACTCAATGTCTCTTCGCATTAATTGTGAAGGGCTTGAATGAGAGTGGTGGCATCTGTCAGCATTTCCTAATCCCACTGCTCACTTTGCTGAAATATTTCTGTTCTAACTAAGCTGCTTAACCGACGGGTGGTCGTGTTCGGCTTAGCCTCTTTACTTGAAGTCGCATACCTGTGTGTTTGCATAGCACCTGCACACACACACGCTTTATAATTCATTGATGGATCAAGTTAACGGTGAGATTCCACTGAAAGTTTTGTGCAAATATTTGTCTTTCATGTTTTCTTTGCAGCTAGGTCTACAGTTGCAAAGACTAAATTCATGCATGTTTGGAACAACATTGTTTAAGACTTGTCAAGATCTATGTTTGTATGGCATTGGCCTTACACTGATATCTACTTCATTGGAATTGTATTGTTGTTTTTTGCTGAATCATAGCAACACTAAAGGCTTTGTGTTCATTGACCTATCATATAATTTTATGTTTATTGCCTTTTATCAGCTAATCTCACATATCACATGATAACGCCAGTGAATTGATCCTTTAAAAGTAGTTTGCATTTCTAATCTTGGAAAGTTAAATCACAACATGACCAATTTTAAATAAATACTCACCAAAAGGATTATTAAAGACCCCACCGGGTACCACTCATCTCCACTACAAATAGGAAAAGAGGCTTCAATTTACAAGAGCTCACCAAAATTCGATAGTTGAAGACTGGAAATATCTTGTCTGGTCTGATGAGTCTCGATTTCTGTTGAGACATTCAGATGGTAGAGTCAGAATTTGGCGTAAACAGAATGAGATCATGGATCCATCATGCCTTGTTACCACTGTGCAGGCTGGTGGTGGTGGTGTAATGGTGTGGGGGATGTTTTCTTGGCACACTTTAGGCCCCTTAGTGCCAATTGGGCATCGTTTAAATGCCACGGCCTACCTGAGCATTATTTGTGACCGTGTCCATCTAGTTATGGCCACCATGTACCCAATCCTCTGATGGCCACTTCCAGCAGGATAATGCACCATGTCGCAAAACTTGACTCATTTCAAATTGGTTTCTTGAACATGGCAATGAGTTGACTGTACTAAAATGGCCCCCACAGTCACCAGATCTCAACCCAATAGAGCATCTTTGGGATGTGGTGGAACGGGAGCTTCGTGCCCTGGATGTGCATCCCACAAATCTCCATCTCCATCTCCAAGATGCTATCCTATCAATATGGGCCAACATTTCTGAATGCTTTCAGCAGCTTGTTGAATCAATGCCACGTAGAATTAAGGCAGTTCTGAAGGTGAAAGGGGGTCAAACACAGTATTAGTATGGTGTTCCTAATAATCCTTTAGGTGAGTGTATAATTGTATGTGTAATAATATCTGAGTGAAAATCTCAAATTCTTCTGGAAAAAAAACAAACAAACTTTTAGACTTTTGGTAATCTAACTCTGAGATATGTTAATTGATTGTGAACTAATTATTGTATCATTTCTAATGGAATTGATACAATCCTAATGTACAGTAGTATAGTGATATGGAGGATGCCTCATATAGTTACCATTTGCATTGTATACGCATTATTCACGGCAGCGCCGTCTTTGATTTTTAATGAGGATGAAAGCGAGGCTGTGAGGGATAGACTTGCATCTCTTCAATGGGCTGTACTGTTATTTAATGTGTTTTCGGATTGTTCTGCTCATGAAACACTGGGAAAATATCTTTCCAAGAAATGTCAGTTGACAAAAAACTCCCGACAATGTAAGCTCTGGAAAATTGTGAGTAATTTAGCCGCTTTATTCAGCTTTTTACAGCGGATGCCATTGGAAACACGGTAAGTCTGTCCCTCACAGCCTTACTTTCATACCCGTCATGGCGCTGCTCTGAATAAGGTCTATTGCGAAATATAAAAATATATGTTGATAAAGCACGAAACAGGTCACTGACAGGCCACCTTACTCAACTAAACTTTGGTTAAGTAAGGTGGCCTGTCAGTAACCTATTTCGTGCTTTATCAACGTTTATTTTTATAAGGCTCTAGTGATGCCATATTCTTCTCTTTTTATTATTTCCACTGACGTTGCAGTCCTCTATCTTTTATAACCCTGGTCTGATTGTACCTTTAATTGGTTCACATCTCAGACCGATTTCATTTATTGCTCAGCTCTATTAAAATACTGCATTTGTTTGCAGTGAAATTATTTTCAAAGATTTTTTTTTCACATTGTATTTTATTAAAATGTGTAATGTGCTCTTTAGCCTGTTGATCTGTAACTACTGTATTGGTTAATTTGGTTAGAACAGGCATGACTCTATACAGGCCCCTAAAAAGGGTAATGAACCAGAAGATCTTTTGTTAGTCCGCACTCACACAGTGAAAGTGACAGTTGTTTTGTTTTGTTTTTCTGAAGTTTTACCACAAGGCTGCAGTGATCCGTTATGACCACAAATCAAAATTCAGCCTTCAATATTGACATTGTCGGTTTCACTGTGAGCCATTCTTTTGGTCATCCATTTCTGTGTTATTTTCTTTTCGTTGTCACGCAGCAGAAACATGATGGCAAGTTTGTAAGACGCAGTTCAACTAGGTCATCTCACCATGGCAACAACCAATCAGGGACCAGCTTCTTTATCCTCAGCGGTGTATTTAAAAAAAAATTTTGTTGTTGATTTTCCTTTTTTGCATAGATGCAAACACAGTCGTTACATCATCGGCTAAGAGACGCTTAGCTCTCATGGACTGTAGTGACAGATGGACACCATGAGAAAAGGGAGGGAGAAAGAGTGAAATGCATTTTCTCTCTCAGCAAAGGTGTGGGACTTCACTTCACCAGCGACGCGGGAGCAGCCGGGCTGTGACCATTTGGAGTTTGCCCAGTCTTATGAACCACAAACTGGGATAAAGATAACAGAAGGAGTGGTCTGATATGTGAACCATTAAAAAAAACATAAAACCATTTGTGACGCAAAAGGAGGTAAGGATTGGTTGGATATCAGCTTGTGCCACTGACGATTATGACTCTGTTTGGTTGAAGAATTTAATGATTACTCGGTCAATCTGATTTCTGTGGAATACCCCGGTTGTGATCTCAAGATTACATTTGGAAGTTCTCCAAAGAAGAGGAATGGAGATGTGAAAGATAAGGACCCAAACATTCACAAGCCTTTCCCGGTTAGCGAACCATCTACTCATCTATTATTCCGCAAGTGTGCGTGTGTTTGCATAAGCTTGTTTATCAGGGTGTGTCTTTATAGATGTGCCCAGGTAGGTTAAAATGGCTTTGTGGGGTTTAAAAGCAGGTGTGCATTAGTCAGCCCTCCCTCATCCTCTCTCGGGCGATGTGAGAGGCCATCTCATTTGCCGATCAGATCATGGACAGATTATCAGCCTAAATGAGCATTAGAAGAAGCTCTGATGCATCGGAATAACATGTATAGAGAAGTTTTACCATGGAGAAGGCATTTTCCTGGTAAATACAACAAAGAACTGGCGTGAAAAGAAGCAAAAGGCGACTATTATTGGGGAACTTTATTCCAAAACTGGTTATTTGAATTTGTCCTTTTTGGACTTCAGTCTGAAACCATGCACAGCGCAGTAGAGCTGATATCACGACTGTAACTTCAACCAGAAGATAGTGTTCTGTGCTGGCACTGACCCTGAAACGAGATCAGCCGGGATGTCTTTTACAGGTTACTCCATCTCTGACTGAACGTGTTGGCGGACCCATTCGTGACTCTGCTAGTCAGCACCATCATGTATGTGCTGTGCACCCTGGTGTTTCTCTCCCTACATAGCCTATTTAGGAGACCCAGGGCCCTGGAATCCTCTGAACCCAAGGCGATTGAGGCACCTGAGCAGCACAGACAGGATTTAGCCAAACAGGGACGCAAGAAGAAGAACAAGCACCCCTCGCCTGGTAGTTCTGGAGCATTAGAGACCTCAAGAGCCCTTAGACAGCATGACTTTGAAAGATGCCTGGATGGACCCCGCAGAGCAAGTAAAAGAAGATCTTTTCCCCTGGATAATGTGCACGAGAGGAGGAAGAGAGGACAGGTGAGATTTGAAAGATTTGCACAGTTTTAAGTTGATCTTTAATGTTGTTTGATACATGATCACCGTTCAATCAAGCGTGTTTAAGGTTGTTGTTTTTGACTGATCCATTCAGGAGCTACTGTGTGCCATGGAAAATCTCCATTTAATCCAAAATGTGGTTATTTATTCATTGATTCCTTCCCATTATTTATTAGTGTTGTATTATTGATTTGGTAAAACATCAGATTCTTTGATGGTTCAAGGATTTCGCTGAGCTTGAAAGTTTTTTCAGAATGTCTAGCCATTTTAGCCAACTGGATGTGTTTCAAAACGTCTCATCCCTTATCCAATTGCTTTTTAGTAGTTTTGTGCGATCAGTTGCTTCTAGAGTAATTCAGAATGCGAATGGCTTGTATGTTTTTTTTGCAGTGTACATGGGGATTTTCTTGTACCTGGAATGATAATTATCATCCTGTCCCATTTCTAATGTTCTTTGTTGTCTGATGGACCGTTTCAGCAGATAAAATCCTGAGTGGTTATGTAAGCGGTGGGTTAATCGGAGAGCCCCCTGTCCTCTTTAATCGTAATTTAATTCATACGTAATGCTCTCAATCTACTGTTCTCTTCCCTTAATGTTCTTTGCTTTCACTTGTTGGATCAGCAGAAATCTCTCCTAGCTGGAATTGGTTTTACTGAACGCTTATTCCACAAGTACCATCAATTCTAGGAAGAATCCTTTATAGACCCCTTTTGCGCCGACGTCACAGTTACGTCACGGCGCTAACTTGAGGCAAAACAAAGTGAAAACTGGAGGCGGCCAATACAAACCAGCACAGATTCGGCTACATAATAAGGAGCTTAAATAATTGTTACTCTTATTAAATGTCATCTTGTTGTGTTGTTTGGTGCAAGAATTTATGAAAAAATAATATGCTGCATCTGGAATTGTGATTTCTAGAAAATATTCACATCGTGATGTCACTCTTTACATTGTCGTCGTCTCGGCAGAACTGCGGATCGTACACACAAGTCTTGTACAAGAACATAGGCATCTAAAGATTTATATGCCCTCAATTTCTCTTTACGATCGGTTTCTCTATAAGGTAGGTGTAGAAGTCAGGCCACTCAACTGAGGTAACGTAACGTTAATCCTGTCAGATCGTCCGTGCATTGAGTGAGCGTGTAGGCGGCTACGGGTCGGCCAATCTGGTTCCGTCCGTTAAAAATAACTTTTGGAAAGAACAATCGCGGTCCTGGACACTGAGTGACCTTACACATTAAGATAAAATCGCATTTTCTCCAGTCATTGTTAAACAAGCTAACAATACTTGCTAACTAGCGTTAGTGAAGTGGCCAGAGGGATCGTTCTGCCTCCACCAAAGCTCCGCCCACAAAAAGTCACCATGTTTACCTACTGAAAAGGGGTCTATTGGTTACAGTGCTCCCCTCACCATTACCATCCATGGAACCTTTCCATTGCACAAAATGTTTTGCTGGAAAAAAAACAACAAACGGAAAACAATTTGGAGCCTTTTTTTTTAAGAACGTAAAAAACCCTTTTCCACTATAAAAAAAACCTTTTGTGCTATGGAATGGTTCCATGGATATTCCTTGGTCTATGTAGTTAAAAGCAGCTAGGTCAGCTCCACATTTCATAAGACGTACAGTACGTTTCAGGGCTGTCAAATTAATTTAAATATTCATCGTATTTAAAATAAAAATCCACATTTTAATGCAAAATCGGAGCATTTGAATTGTAGGTGCGTTCTTGTTTGTAGAAAGAAGACTCAAGACTTCAAGATCTCATGTGTTTATACGCTAAAACTCTGTGTGATCTGTGCTTCGGCTCTTTGTATTAACCTATGTATAAATACATGATGCTGTTTTGTTCATAATTGTTTATACAATTTACAAAATTTGATTTATAAACATTAGTTTAAAACAAGTTATGCACTTATTGTACTACAGACATGTAATTTCATTGCTTTGATAAACGATTTAATGCATTGCATTTAATATTTTGCTCATTACGCCGACTTGTGCCCTCAGGAGACAAGCCAAAAGCTTCTCTCCATCTAACTGAAATTATGCCTTTTAAATTGAAACATAAATTGAATATCAATATTTAAGGATATGATTTTGTTTTTTCAGCCATTTTGACAGCCCTTGCGTTTTTCAATCTAAACATTGCCACAAGTGACGCTCTCATTACCATAAACAGAGCTTTATGGAAAGTTTTGTCTTGCAACAGTATCTGTTTGAACTAGATGTCAGAAAAACATTGTCATATTTGACAGGATCTATCGCTTGTGGTGTACAGCACAGCAAGACTGAACATTTAAGCATCTGTTTTTGCATACTTTTTTAGAGCACGTTTAAGGCCATAATGGTATTCTGGGACATCACTTTTGCAGTGTTGTCATAATCCTTAATGTTAATGAGAGCTTTTTTGTTGGGAAACCAGATTTACAACTATCAATACTTTAAAGGGATAATTGACCAGTTTTTCACTCACCCTTAAGTTGTTCCAAGCTTGTGTGAATTTTTCTTCTGCTGAACCCAAAAGAAGATATTTTGAAGAATGTCAGTAACCAAACAGTTCATGGGCCCCATTGATTTCCTTAGTATTTTTCAATGTCAATGCGGCCCATCAGCTGTTTGGTTACCCATATTCTTTCAGCAAAAGAAATAAATTCATACATACACAGAACTATGCCTTTAAGTGCTCAGTACTCACTTTTGCAAATGAGTTTTAGAGTGTTTTGTTTGTCTTGCCCAGCCACTGATCAGAATGGCAGTATTGGATTATCATTAACAGGGCTTGAGTTGTCTCAATGCATGGAATCCTCAGCTGACACAGATTTATCAACAAAGCTGACACTGCTCTTTTAAGACATTAATTAGTAAACTTGTAACACACACGGTCTTCCTACAGACTGTCAACAATTTAGTATGCTTTAAATGGATGGCTTTTACAATCCTTTGGAAATGGTTTCGTAATGCTGACTTGACCATAAACCGAAATGCTCCGTTGAAGAGCAACCGCTCTTGCAGTTTCTTTCTATGTACCAGCTCAAGTTTGCGTTTGTAACCCAGTTACCTAGTATTGCCTCAGTGTGGCCTCACGGGAGCAGAAGAATAGTGTCAGTGTAGTTGCTGAGAGACCCGTCAATTAATACACCACACAAATGAGTGAGCAATTTCCTGTGACCAGCCTAAAGACAAGTATGTTTGTTTGTTATTGTTTTGTTGTTGTTAGTGCTTTGAATTTGATGTTTTATAGTAAGTTTAAATCATTCATGCAATAACTTGAATCCAACTCTTTTATGATCATATTTCTCATTTCTGTATTCACATTAAGAAACATCAGGGTGATACTATTAGTCACTTTATACTGATAACTGGTCATAATGAAGGCTTCATGAAAAGAAGAAGATAAGTAGTTTGTTTCAGTCTACTTTTTCTTGAAAAATACCTTGTCAAGACATTTATCGACAATATTAATGTAATAATAACAAAATAGTATGAAGGCATGTGGGATCCAACAAGCAGAAACCATAAATCCAACAAGCAGAAAACATAAAATGGGATATTATGTCTTTGTGACCCTCATGACTGTCAAGGTCAATATGTCTCTTAAAATATTAGACAATTTGACTATTTAATAAGTAGGAAATTTAGTTCAGAACTTCATATTTTACATTGTCATGTGTTGCAACTTCTCAAAATCTGAAAGAAATGTATGAACTAATATATATATATTAGTTCATACATTTTATATATATATTTTTTTTTTTCACTTCATAATTGACTAAATTAAAACTTCTTAAAGTGGTATATTTTTTTTTCAAAACCAATCGAAACTTGCATGATTTCATTAATTTCCTTTCCTTTATCTGTTGTTGGTAATGTATTCCTGTAACACATATGATACTGACTCTAGGAGCACCAAGGTTGGCTATTCAATTCTTTATACCTAAAATGCACTGAAAGATGAACACATTTAATGAATAAATGTAAAATATTTCAGTGTGTCAAACAGACGGCAGACACAAATGCTAGTGCAGTGAAAAGCAACACCACGCTACATTTTGCATGCTAAAATATTTATTTACATTGGCCAGTCTGGTGATGAAGAGGGAGGAGGGAACTGTGGGATAGGAGGGGAAGGAGGGCAGAAGCGTGGTGTGTGTGTGTGTGTGGCTCGGATTCCACCGTTACTAAGGAACAGCGGCAGGAAAAACGGCGTTGGTGTCAGTACGAGAGTGTGTGCGTGGAGAGAGGAGCTGCATGTGTGTGTGACACAAAGAGAGCCATAGGGGCGGCTTAGCGGAGATCGGCGACGTGTGTGTGTACTGTAAACGAGTGTGTGCTCGCACTCCAAATAAAATCTAAAATGATGAAGGAATGAGCGACGGCAGGATACCGCAGGGACGGAGGTGAGTTCAGAGATGGAGACCGAGCAGAAATATTTATGTCTATGCTTTATGTTTTACCTGTATTATATTTAACACACATTGTCTTTCATGACACACATGCAGAGGTCTAGTTTGTGGACACTGCGTATGGTTTAATGTCCCAGATGTTTGCTATGGGGGGATTTACAGGAGTGGATGGATGCGGTGATGTTACTCTTATGATGGGGGATGGGGAAGCTGTAATAACTGGATTCACATGAATGTTTCATGGGCTGTTCATAGCAGAGAAGTTGCATGTGCTTGCATCCCTGTACTGTGATTTAGACAAAGCAATGCAGGAACAGGAGACAGACAGACAGATGGAGAGACATACAGTACTCAGGGGGGGACTGCTGATGAATGAATGATACAGGAAATCAGACCGACAGCGACAGACTGTTGGACCACAGGATTCACTGGTGACAGACTGTCTGTGCACATGCATGTGTCTGCCGAGATGAAGGACTGATGCTGTAGGCTTCAGTAAAGAAATGCCCACTAACCAGACTGATCTCATGTAGTAGCGTTTGTATGACACGCCAATTCGTATTTCCATTTTTAGCG